ATATATATATATATATATATATATATATATATATATATATATATATATATATATATAGCGCTGACATGCCCCTAAAGAGCGTTCAGCAGAACATTTAAACTGTTGCAATATATCATTAAACCGTTTATAAAACGCTGAGTTCTGCTGAACGCAGCTAGTATCTCACTCCCTCCTTTAAACATGTTTGTTTCTTATATCACATACAGTCGTTTTGTATAAATACATGATAGAACCCCACTATCAATACAACCGACAAATCAACGACCAATACCTTATCTCAGAACGTAATACTTTTGTAAAATGCACTCAGGATATACAATTTTATCTAATCAACGAATTTTATCGATGTTATTTAAAGTACGTGCGCACGAATAAGTACACGGCATATTGTCCGATTCTTCTTAGTGAGAAACTTATACGCGAATTTAGTGAGAAAAGGAAGTAGAGAACATTCGCACGATGGATAACGTACAAAATAAGACCGTCATGATCACCGGTGGGGCCGGCGGTTTGGGCAGCGAATTCGTCAAAATAATGCTGAAGAATGGCGCGAAGAACGTCGCCATCGTGGATTTGCCGACAACACAGGGTCGGAAGCAAGCGACTGAGTTGGAAGACAAATACGGTAAAGGTCGTGCTGCCTTCTTTCCCTGTGACATAGCGGACACCAAGGAAGTCGAGACGACATTCAAGAAGATCTTGGACGCGTTCGGCGAGCTCAATATTGTCGTCAACAACGCCGGGTTGGCGAACGACAGACGGATGGAGCAAACGATGGAAGTGAATGTCATGTCGCTAATACGCATCTCATTATTGGCCTTCGATCACATGGGAAAGCACAAGGGTGGTAAAGGCGGTGCTATCGTCAACATATCGTCCATATTCGGGCTATCCTCGGAGAAATGCGGTATACCGATCTATTGCGCCTCGAAGTACGCGGTAACTGGTTTCAGTCACAGCCTGGCGAACTTCCACTACATCAGTGGAGTGCGCATCCTCACGTTATGCCCGGGCGTCACTTTAACGCCGCTTGTCACCGACAAGACTCACAAGCGGGCTTTGGATTTCGTTGACTTAAACGTCTTCAGCCTGGAAAACTTACCGCAACAGACTCCCGACAATGTGTCGCGCGCGCTACTGCATCTCATACAAAAAGGTGAAAACGGCGCGACCTGGGTAACCGAGGACAGCCAGCCGCCCTACGCGGTGGATTTTCCTCATTACTCTAAGCGAGCCTCGCCTGTGTAAGGTACGTAGTACACCGAGAAGAAATATTTGAAAATTTTGTTCTGGAATATAAAATCTACTTCTGTGAACAAACTTTATATTTTATATGCATACACATAAGTAAATTTTCAAGTATTTTTTAGTGCAACGTCCACATATACATCAGAGTCGTACACGTGTGACTAATCTTTCATGGGAGACCAGAGTCAGATATGTGTGACAATGAATTAATACTTTTTTTCTATATCTGTATAAACGATTGTAAAACTACGTTACTTTTATGTAATCGTATAAAAATAATATAAAATGGTTTATAGTAAGGATTCCTCGAATAAATCAAATAACACGGTGTATAAATCGAAAAATTTGACGTTCCTTTGATTTTTCCTTTGAATTTTTGTTTTTGTTATGGATGAAGTTTCGTTGTTATGTAATTTAGTAGAATATAATAATATATAAGATTTCGTTATATATGACAAGCCGATAACTCATGGAAAAATACGCAATATATATTTACATACGAGTAAATTGACGCGGGGTCTGATAGGTAGATGTTATGTTCTTGAAAATTTTTCACTACGATCGTGTTTCACTTTGCGTTTTTTTTTTGTTGCAACTGCGTGCAATTTTGATCGTTATTATATCGTTATATTTTATATTTTAAGACGTATTATGCTATTTGTCTAAGTGTCAGGTAGATAGAGATGTTTCTATTAATGCTACGAAAACTGTTAATGAAGCTAATGCTTAACCCGTAACAGGTACCATGGGATCCCAGGGACCTCAACTAATTTTATTTTTGTGATAATTCCTAAACTATCCATTGTATGGCGCTATCTTCAGTACCTTTCGAGTAACAGTTTTCAGTATGACAGAAGAAAAGATCATCGAGTTATTTGTAAATAGCTGTGAATTATATGCATTTGTTTTTCGTATGGGGTCACAGTGACCCCATTGTACCGTTAACGTTACTTTTATGAAAATAAGTTTCTTAATCTTCAGCTCAATATGACTCATTCTTCACGCAAAAGAGTAAAAGCTCTTGCCTTTCAATTAGTAGAACCTGAACTTAAAAGATGTCTTACAACTCAATATATTCATAAGCCATTGCGTTTAATAATTTCATCTATTTTAAAAATTGAAGAAACTGAAAGATCTAAAATTATTTTGCTATCCAGACTAAGATGTAATAAATGTCCTAGAAGTAAAGATATGAAGTCCAAAAAAGTACATATATGTTAGATGCAATGGTTCATTAACCAGTATGCACCAAATGTGCAAGCATTATCTGTAACGATTGCACCTAAAAACCCTCTAAGATTTTAATATTGTATTTAATTTAACAATACTTGTTTATATTTTTTATATAATCTATAATTTGTAGACTTAGATTAAAATATAAATTTTTTTCTTTTTCCGATTATTTATCTTTCAGTGTATTTTATTTCAACACTGTCCACATTGTGTTCATTTTATAATCAGTTAACGTTTTCTTTTAGATTACTGAAAAACTGAGACTTATTATATATGTCTAGTTGTAATATAATATTCGTAAAGTATTATTTTTCAACTATAAAGCGTTTTTTTTCTATCTTTTATCATGTTAAAAATGACAAAAAATTTATTTACCGGACCCCATTGTACCTATAGCTTGACTAAAAAGGCATGGTACCTGTTACGAGTTAATGTGCTCTTAAAAAATTGATGGATGACTAATGTTACGAACTTAGAATTGTATTGAGAAATAAACCAAATAAAATTAATGATAACGAGTCTTGTTTAAGTGCGACAATTTTCCGAATGTTATTGATGTACAATGACATATTTTGAAATTAAAATTTTAAGACAAGATATATGTATGTTATTTCTTTAGTATGTTATTTTAGGTTAATATATAAAATGAATATAGTTTTTAATTTTTCTTCCAATATATATATATATATATATATAGCCATACATTAGACAATGTATTCATTATTTGGTATATAAATATTAAAAAAATTTATCCTATATACACACTACAAAAATTTTATTTGCGTGTGTGGATCTCCTAAGTTTGTGATCCGGAAGTGCACTATTTGTGCACTATCACGATGAACAGGAATTGTTATTCTGTCATTAAGTTCGTCAACTGTTTTTGTCGAGTCATATCCTATTGTTTGCACAAATGCAAATAAAAATTTATGAGAAACCATCTATATGTGCATAAAAGCGCGATAAATTGTGCATATGATAAATATCGGAATGACTAGAGGAATAGTTTTACATATATTTGCGAAGAAGATATTATCAACCTGTTTTTTCTCACATTTATGGTGTTATGGTGATTTAAGAATGGACGATGTTAGCAGATTTGATTGAAAACAATTTTATCAGAGGTAAATAAAAAAAGTAATTATTGAAATTATACGTTTTTGTAAAAAGGGATTTAGGTTCGTTTGAATAAGTTATTGTTTGCTATGTTTACTTTTGATTAACTAGGAGGATAATGGTTGAAATTGCTATTGTACTATATAAATATGATATTCATAGCAGTATAAACCAAATTCTTAGTATTGACCAAATTATTAGTATTGACCAAATTCTTGGTATTCTGATGTAACGCCAAGGCAAGTGCTATATGTAAAAATATCTTAGTATTTATGGTATTCATGGTAGAATATTACATGAGTCTCAAAAACTTTTCTTTATTATTATTTGTTTTTAAGGCTAATACTTAAGGACATGATCAAGAATAAGAAAAGTTCATGTATAACCTATGTTTTAAAATTTATTTTTAACAACACGGATTTATATATACGCTATCGCGAGAAGCGACTCAAGGAAAGTTAGCTTCGAACTAATGTACCATGAATTAAAATACGATTAAGACTTAAATATTCCCGTTTAATATAGCGTTTTACACAGTCGATATTGGTTACATTTTTACTTATATGCATGACTTTGATACATATGGATGTGATTGATTCACTTATGACATCGACTTCGGTTTCTTATATTTGGTAATGTTGATATTACAGAAAATAACATAATAACCTTGTTCTTTGCTTTTTGTGACATAAGTATTTTAAATTCAAGTTACAACATTGTTTTTCTTGCATTCTCCTATAAGCGCTGACTGAACGTTGCGTATTGACAAATAAGCGGATTGTATTTACAGCAATAAGTTCATGATATTAAGAATACAGAATATGATATTGTATGAAAGATAAACAAACTGTTGTTTCGATTCTTTCAACGACGGTTATTTCGAAAGAAATATTTGTTTCCATATTTATACTTTAATGTTACTTAAATTGTACGGTACAATCATAATTAATTATGCAGTATAATTAAAATAATACATTTTTAGGCCTGATAAAAGCTTTCTTGTGATTGTTTAATGTTATCATATCAATGTAATTATATCGAAATTAGTATAAGTATTTTAAAAATATTAACAGTACGATATAAATATAAAATAAAAAAATACTTGGAACTTGGTTAATTGTAACTATAATTAAAATTAGTAATGTACATATAATAATTACAAAAAAACGAAAAATATTTGAAGCTAATACGTATAAAAATATTTAAAGTCAATATGTGTAACTGTATATATCTAAAGATATTTATATAGATTTATTAAATTCTTTGTATGAAGAATTATATGGTTTCAGGAAAGATTATATTTTCATATTTGTATTGAATATATGGTAATTGTAAGGAGACAGAATTGCGAATAAGATGTTCTTCGTTAAAATTGGTGGCCCTAAAAAGGGCCGTTTATAATTTTTGCTTGTTAGGCTTTCTTCTCGGTCTTCTTGGGCAGTAAGACTGCTTGGATGTTCGGCAGTACACCACCTTGAGCGATAGTAACACCAGATAAGAGTTTGTTCAACTCCTCGTCATTACGGATGGCAAGTTGTAGATGTCTGGGAATGATTCTAGTCTTCTTGTTATCACGTGCAGCGTTTCCCGCCAATTCCAACACTTCAGCTGCGAGATATTCCATTACAGCTGCCAGGTAAACTGGAGCACCGGCACCTACACGTTCGGCGTAATTGCCTTTGCGTAAGAGCCGATGGATACGTCCGACAGGAAACTGCAATCCAGCACGGTTGGAGCGAGACTTCGCTTTTCCCTTAGCTTTGCCACCTTTACCACGTCCTGACATTCTTGCAAACGATGAGCAACACAAAGACTTCTCAACAAGCTTATGCTTAGCAAGCGATGCGTCGAATGGTTATGAGAGCTCCGTGCCTCGCCGCCGGCTACTTATATCGTAGCAAGGCATACCGTTCAACCAATAGCGCGCCGGGAGTCTAATGATTGGCGGAGGCGCGCCACGCGACTGGTGCGTCGCTACTGTCGCTTTTCTGTATATAAGGGTTGCATTCAGTCGTTCCTCCACAGACATTCGTCTAAAGGCTCAACCGAACGGTTAGCAGCGAATAGATCGAGCGACATCATGCCACCCAAAGCGAGCGGCAAAGCAGTGAAGAAAGCCGGCAAGGCTCAGAAAAATATCAGCAAGACCGATAAGAAGAAGAAAAGGAAGAGGAAGGAGAGCTACGCTATCTATATCTACAAAGTCTTGAAGCAGGTGCATCCCGACACCGGAATCTCCAGCAAGGCGATGAGCATCATGAACAGTTTTGTTAATGATGTTTTTGAGCGTATTGCCGCTGAAGCATCCCGACTGGCGCATTACAATAAGCGTTCGACGATCACGTCTCGGGAGATTCAAACGGCAGTTAGGCTTCTGTTGCCCGGAGAACTGGCAAAGCACGCCGTGAGTGAAGGCACCAAAGCAGTCACCAAATACACCAGCTCTAAGTGAATGATTGCTCTCCAAATCAACGGCCCTTATCAGGGCCACAAATTTCTTATACGTTTGACATTCACGTTTTGCAATTTTATTATTAAATATAAATATGTACACATCCATTTACAAACTAAACTATTAACTCACTTTAATTGAGTTTGACTTGGAGGTAATTCTTTATAAAATCCTGACAGGGAAAGAGAACCTTTAGGAATAAAAATATTAAGAATCTACTTTTGCACGAGTTTTTTTAAACAAATTGTGGCTAATTAAAAATACTTTCTATAGGAAGTTTTTAATATCAATTTTTTATTAAAAAAAAAAAAAACTGAAGATAACTTAAATTTCTCGTAAAACATGAATATAGTGACAGTATATGTTAAAATTATAGACTTTTATCCGGTAAAGATTATAAACAAGTTCGTATCATTTAAATGAAAAATTATAAAAGTTTTCTGTTTTAAGAAGTTCTATAGAGTTCTATAGTTCCACCTTTGCTGAATCACCACTTGAATCTCTATTTTATCATGAAAAGCGCATGTCCTGATTGTAGTGAAAGGCCAGTTCGATTTTAGCATTATTGGCATCGGTCGGAAACTTTTCCCGTTATTGAGTGTGTAAACATATGTTAAATATATATTAATATATCTTGTATCGTAATCAACATCAGTTACATGTTTGAATTTTCACGAACATTGTACGCGTTTGGAGGGAAGCATGTGCTCTTTTAAAACTTAATACACGTAATTTGAGGTTAGCTTATGGACTCCACATTCCTTCTTCCGTGTGTGCTTGGTTACAGAGAAATTTTGAAATAAGTGAAAATCGTGAGAATAATTTAAATATAGAAAAAACGTGAAATATATGGACTCTTCTGATCATACAAAAACATCAATTTTATTGTTTAATAATATAAAGAATGACATCTTACAATGATCATATCGTTTGGATTGATATGGAGGTATGTTACAACATCTAATTCTAATAATTGTGGTAAGAAATTATCTGATTTTACATTTGAAATTATAAATCATTATAACGTTTCATTTTTAGATGACTGGGCTTGACATTGAGAAAGATCATATATTAGAAATTGCCTGTGTTGTGACAGACAAATCGTTACAGATCATCAGTGAAGAATTGAATATTGTAATACATCAACCAGATATAATTTTAAAAAATATGAACAAATGGTGTATGAAAAATCATAAAATCGTAAGTTTGATCTTATTCTTATATAAATAATGTTCTCTGGAGTTTTTCACATCTACAAAATGATATCTATGATTATAGAGTGGATTAGTAGATGACTGCCGTTCGAGTAAGATTTCACTACAAGAAGCTGAAAAGAGTGTACTCCATTTTTTAGAAAAATATGTTTCTAAGCGTACATGCCCATTAGCTGGAAACACAGTCTATATGGATCGCTTATTTTTATGGAAATATATGCCATTAGTAAATGAATACTTGCATTACAGAATTATTGATGTTAGTTCACTCAAGGAGCTTCACAGGTAAAAATAGTTTCTGGTAGATTCTTATCAGTAAGCTGCAATGCTGATGTTTCTTGCAATGCAAGCAAAGTTAGTAGTTTATGTAGTTAGTGCAATGAATATTTAAGTGAACCTTTAACATTTTTAGAAGATGGAATCCGGAGGTATATACAACTGTACCTACCAAAATGTTAAAACATAGAGCACTAGATGATATAAAAGAGAGTATCAATGAACTAGCCCACTATAAAAAACATACATTTCGAGTAAAATGATAATAGTTGAAAAAAATTTCAATCATGTAAAAGGTAAAAAGTACTAAAAATCATTGAAATAATGCAACAAATCTCTTAAGATTTGTGTCTGTATATCGTAAATGTGTAAATATAATAAAAATATAAAATGTGTAAATTTAAATCGTTTATCTCATAGATGTAACACTCTTTTATTCATTGTGGAACATAATAAAAAGACATAATAAAGTACATAAGAATATACATATTGAAATTTTTATTGTTTTTCCACCTTTTGTTAGAAAATAATTTATTACTGCATTAAAAAACATAATACTACGTAACATTAGTCTAAGCTTTTGCATTGGATAGACATTTCTCGAACATAAACTGAACTAATAAATTTTTCTAAGTTTAAGTTACGTTAATTCTCAGATCACGCGCCATAAAATATTATCATTTTGTTTCTCACTTTTTCATTGTCAAGCCTCCATTCAGTAGTTGCATTTAGCGAAAAAGGATCATTTATTAGTCGATCTGGACTCATATACTTGAAATTTTTACGTATACATAAGTTTCATACACTCATTACGCAGATTATATGAAATTATATATATATATATA